GGGCGGGGAAGAGGCCCCCCCGCCGGCCGTCGGCCGACGGCGGGCGGCACTAGGGCTGATCTCGGAAAGATCTATTAGTGGAAATTTTCATTTATTTTTTCAAATCATTAGTCGTGCGTTTAACAACTTAATATCTATTTTTTTGTCGTTTTACATTCCTACCGATTATTCTTTGATAGAATCTGATTAGTTTAATATTTGAGTATAAAAGAACAAAGTGTATATAATGATTGGAAGGCATCAGATCCAGTGATAAGAACAGATGGGGTTTTTATGTGCCAGCCACCTAAAATATTCAATATAACATTTTAACCCCCAAACTTTAAATATTAACATTTTAACACATTTTGACCATCCAAAATTTCATTCAAAGCTTTTACTGGTGAGTAATGGAGGGTGGAGGGTGACTGTAATAAAGTAGTAGTTAAAATGTTACAGGGGCAACCCTGAAACTTGACTTGCTATTTACAGTACAGATCAACCACCCTCTTTCATCCATTTTTCAAATTCTCACTCAAATATCAAAATTCATGGTAAAACCTCCGACCAATGGCGCTTTCATTTTTATCAAATTCTCAATAGTTTGATTGTGACATGGATAAATACATTGGTTCGTTGATTCAAAAAAAGTCACCTTTGTGGTAAATTTGTAAATTATCGCATTTATTATCTCATTATAAAATTATATTGAAAGCTTCGTCTTGAAGCAACAATTTATGAGGACGATAGCACAAATTATATTAGATGATTTGTTAGGATTAAAAATAAATCAATAAAATTTAATAAAAATAAATTAAAAATGAATTAAGATCTGTAGAAAGTATGTATTATGAACTGTTCAATACATTATTTACAGTATTATGATTTTAAGTACTGAAACTATCTCTATGTCATCCTTAACAGCGGAGATCCGACGATGTATGAGAAGTTCTGGAAGCAAGCAGGCAATGCGGCGGAGCTGATCATTCCTGGAGCTCAAACAATGAGCTATTTCTCTGATGTGACAAATCTCTGCTGGTTTCTCGAGCCGCTGTTTGCGACTGAGGTCAGGAGACTTCACCGCCTTGTTGGCAATGCTGTAATCGGTCCCGATAGCTATATAATTGTCGGCACCGGCTCTTCACAGCTCTTTCAAGCTGCCCTGTTTGCCCTCTCCACGTCTCCTGAAGTATTCGGCGGCGGCGGCGGCCGGCCGCTTCCTGTTGTCTCCTCTGTACCATACTACTCGGTGAGGAATATGGCAAAAGCTGTTATTTTTATGACTCTTTTGAAAATATTTTATTTGGTTATGTAATTGTTTAAGTAATATTTGCATATATACCACTCAGCTCTTATGCATTTACATGCCTAAAAACCCAACTTCAATTTTGACATACATTCCACCTTTGAGTATGCATGAAAGGGTTTATTTCACTTATTTTTAGTTAGAATGGTGGTATTATTTATGTGATATGAAGTATATGGGTGGTAGAAATATATAAAGTAAACTTTTGGCATTAGATATATAAATATATACGAATTGGGTGGTAAATGGGTTTAATGATTTTGATTCATCTTGTAAAATTGATGGAATTGTTTTGTAAATCCACCAATATTAACCTATTTTAAATAAGCCACCTTTATTTACTTGGGTCATGTTAAGAAAGATATAGAAGTGAATCTCCACTTTGAATTACGTAGCTCTTAGGCCTATGATCGCTAATTGGCCATCATTGAATCAAAGTTTTTGAAGAAGAAGAATAGAGGAGGGTTGAGTATAAAGAGAGTACAAAGCACAGTACGAGCAAGAACGTCGAGGAAACGAGAGCATGAAGATATAATAAACTGAAGGAGAAGTGATAGATATTTATCATTATAGTCACATCAACTATTAAGAAAATTAATATCAATCGTCATCAAGTAAGGTTGGTCACACAATGAGAAAACATGAAGAATTTACTTGGAAAAACCCGTAAATGGGAAAAAAATCACGGGAAAGTCGGAGCAAAAACTTCACTAATAAAAAAGGTGATCGGTGATTAAGTCTTGATTCCTCACACCACAATCGGTATTTATAAAGTTACGGCAGAATACATCTGGTATGAAATATCACATGAATTTGATAGCAAATATATTAAGTAAAAAGTATATTAGGAAATTAATATATTTGGTAGGAAATTTCAAGGCATTATTTTACATTAACATAGTTGTTCCCCCCTAGATTATCATATTTTTTTCTTGATAAAAATTTTTGTTTTAATTTAAATTGTTGAATATACTACAAGCAGTTAACTTCTTCTCAAAAGTTAACTACACAATGAAGTCTAGCTTCTCAAGCAAGAGGTACAGTACACATAAAACAATGAGAAGTAAGATTTAAACTTGGCTTATGAACATAAGCAATTTCTAAACTTTCTTTTAATTCAAAAATTTAACTGCATCAAGTCTAAAGAAAAGAAAATAAATATAAGAGAAATTCTAATGATAACATTTTCTTACAAGTTTCTCACTGAACTGTTAGGAAGACAATTTACATAACTAGAAGAGCCTCTGAACCTGTCATTCCATGACATTAAAGCTTCTCATGCCATGCAGTGGAATTATAAGTGTAAGAGCAACCTCACATCGAAGATTGCCACCCAAGATTAGTAGACAGAACAAACTCCACCTCAATTGCAAATTGAATTATTATTAGAAGATTTACATACATACCACTCAATTCTTATGTAGTTATATATCTAACACTTAAACTTCAATTTTCACGTGCATGCCACATTACTTTTGTATGAAAATGTGTATTTCACGTTTTTAAAAGTTAAAATTATGGTATTTTTGATTTGATATTAAGATTTGGGTGTTGTAAATGTACATAGCACTTTTTTGGTGTGAGATTTGTAAATACTTGGGAATTGGGTGGTATGAATGTAAATGCCCCATTATTATTTTGTAAGGTTATAAAACGTCCTAATCATTATTACTTTTTGTTGAGGCGTTCTGCATAGCTTGGCCAAAGACGTGGAAACTTGCTATATTCTCACTGAAAGACATAATTCATTTTTTGCATTCTCGGCCTTTACGATGACTTAAAGTTTTGTTGTTACCTTATTTAAAGATTCAACTTCAACATAAAAGTCTTCAAATTTGCTCTTAGAGGTATTGTTATGAACTTTCTTTTAGGCGACTCTGCTTTTATCTTCTCAAAATCTCTAATATTTTTAGTTAAAGCTTAAGATTGTTCTTTGTCATAAAGCACTACATCTTCAACAATAAAGCTTTGCTTTTCACCATTGGTATTAGAGCCGGTCAATTTCGCATCACTAGCTGATTTCTATAATAATTGAAGGCCTTGGAGTGCTAAGCTCAATAGTTGGTTATGATTTTGAAGGAATTCAACTTTAACCTCAATTTTTAGAGTACCTAATGGTAGTTTTGTTCTTTTGAGAAACAAAAGTTCTTTTTGCGTTTTCTATCGGGTTCAATCAATCAATTATCACTAATGCCTGAAATTGCTGCGAAGCAATCGGTCAATCACCCAAGTATACATGTCGATTAAGTAATATACAAAATTAGAGTGTGTATATGTCTCACGAGGAAATTTGCCAAATTTCTAACAGTTAAAATTTTAGTTTACTAAACTGCTAAGCCTAGTTTGAATATTTTAGATTTGTAGAAGGTAAAAGTTCTAAAATCATAATCTAAAAATTAGAAAAGTGAACTAAATTTAATTGGAATTTTTCAGAGGTTAGGGTTTATTCTTCTGTGACACTTGTCTAGTGATTCCTCAATATTTTTTTTTATGAGTTCCCTATATTATTTTTGACAGCCAGGGACAAGTTCTTGCTTAGCTTATGGCTAGGTCATCAGGAAACGTTGGAATCTCGTATTATAGTTAAAGGGGCCTTAACCATGCAAGAGTTTTCACGAATTCTCTAGTTCTCTATTCAGATTGTATTTTTCTATTGGCAACATGTCTATTTTCACCAAGACTAAAATTTTCTCATCTTCTCTACTTCTTAAGCTTTATTCATCTCTCTACAACATCAAATCCAACAATTATCTTATAAATCAACATTAAGAGCCATCTTAGATATCTTCCGAGCCAACCCAAACATTTGTGGCAGATCCTAACTCATGTTTAAGCAAGAAACCGTTAATTAATTACCTCAATAACCACATAATCAACCTCTGCTTAATTGCTTATATATGCATAACATGGCTTACGACTAATACAATTTATGCTGTTGGTTATAGCCTGCTTGACATCAATCTAACATAAAGAAGAAGGGACATTTACATATGTACCACCCGATTCTTATGTATTTACATATCTAACCACTAAACTTTACTTTTTTGCACTTATAACACCCAAATCATGCATATCGCATCAATAATATCACTATTTTAAGTTAAAAAAAAAGGGGGAAATGCACATTTTCATGTATATAAAAGTTGAAGTTTTGGTTAGATGCATAGATAAATAGGAATTAACCATTCTTTCCTTTTTTTTGCTGCCCCCTAAATATCTCTGAAAATTCAAATCTCGAAACTTTCTTCCACTTAAGTTATACCTTCATAAGATTTGAGCGCAAAACCCTTTATTGAAATATAATTTCAGTCTTACCCTGCAGCCACCGACCTCCTCCAATCCGCTCTCTTCCGTTGGGCCGGCGATGTCAGTTCTCTTGAAAAAGATGACGACGACCCTTACATCGAAGTCGTGTGCTCTCCAAGCAACCCCGACGGCCTCATCAAGGCTGCCTCAATCCGCTCTAGCAATCAAAACGTGATCCATGACCTCGCATACTACTGGCCTCAGTACACCGCCATCACCGCTCCGGCGAACCACAACCTCATGCTTTTCACCGCTTCAAAGTGCACTGGGCATGCCGGAATGCGGCTCGGTTGGGCCATTGTGAAGAACAAAGATGTCGCAAAGAGGATGATGAAGTTCATAGAAATCAGCACGATCGGAGTGTCAAAAGACTCTCAATTGAGAGCGGCGAAGATTCTGAAGACGGTCTCTGATCATTATGAGCTTGAAGCGGTGGAAGATTTCACCAAATTGTTTCATTTTGGAGGGAAGACGATGAGAGATCGATGGGAGAAACTTCGAGCCGCTGTTGCGGCCTCTGATGCTTTCAGCTTGCCGGTGTTCCAGCCAGAGTACTGCAACTTCATGAAGGAGAACACCTTGCCTTCTCCTGGTAATTGTTTTCAAGAAGAATTTACATTTATACCGCACAATTGTTATTATGTATTTAGATATTTGACACTTGAAAATTTATATTTACATGCATACCAGTTTATGCTTTAACAAAATCTTTTTGGGGCATTTACATACATACCACCAAATTCCCATGTATTTACCTATCAAACAGCTATATTTTACTTCTTTTACATTTACACCACCAAAATCTTTCGTATCACATAAAAAATTACGACTATTTTAACTTTTAAAATGTCAATTACATCTTTTCATGCATAGGTACGGTAATATGTATGTAAAAATTGAAGTTTTGGTGTTAGAATGCACCTTTTCATACACAGTCGTAAGTATTATAAATGTAAAATTAAAAAATTTTGGTCGCCTCTACGTGTATATTTATGTAAATACATATGAATTATGTGGTATGTATGTAAATCTTTGTATTTTGAAACCCAACTCATGTTGATTTGTGCAACATAAGTTTTTCTATATTGATTTTTCATTTTTGCAGCTTTCGCGTGGTTGAAGTGCGAGCGAGACATCGATGATTGCGAGAATTTTCTTCGACAAAACCATAAGATTTTGACTCGAAGTGGGAAGCATTTTGGCGCGGATGCAAAGCATGTGAGGGTTAGCATGTTGGATCGTGTCGAGACTTTTGATATGTTCATCGAACGGCTATTGTCGATCGATCTATGAGGGGATTCTGTTCTACTGATGGCTGATTTATATAGCCTTCTGTTTTAAGTGGAAGGTTGGTGGTTTTTGTAATTTTGCTATTTTGATGGGTATGATTAATGATGTTTATGTGTATTATGGTGTTTTGTTGACATGGAAGATCTCTTTCCAATTTAGTTTTTGAATGGGAAAATTAGTGCAAAAATATTTAAGTTTGATGTGTTGAAATGGAATTTGAATTGTGTTTTTTCTATATGTTTTAGGGATGATTATTCACTTTTCACCCCTATAAAATTTTTAAATTGCGGAATCAATGTATTTATGCTTGTCGATTTGTAGAAATCATTGAGAATTTGATAAAGACGAAACATATGAGTCGAGGTTTTATCATGAATTTTGAATTTGAAAAATGTATGATAGTGAATTTGTAAATACAGATCTTTTGGGTGCTATTTATGTAAAAAAACCTGATGTTTTAGGTATTTTTTAGGAGTAAGCCTTAAAAATGGTATTTTATATTTATGTTGTTCTATATGAGGCAATAATATTTTAGGTAGGGTGTCAAAACAAATAACTCGTTGTTAGAGAACAGCTCGTGTTCGACTCGTTAGTTAAGTAAACGAGCTGAACTTGACCAAGTTTTTAAAACTCGAATTATAAATGAGTAGAACGCAAACATTTCTTTGTTCGCTCGTGTTCGGCTTGTTTTAGCTCGAAATAAAGAAAAATATATAATTATTTATATAATAATATATTATACATATTATTTATATATTAATTTATTATATATATTTATATCTAAGTTTAAAACTTAATTACTCGTTTGGTATTGTGGTTATGTTCCTTCTTTTTATTCATTTGTTACAGGTTCGAATTCAGCACTTTATATTTATTTTTTCAGTTTAATTTTAACGAGCCAATTTCGAGCTAAACAAGAACACACTGTTCACGAGTCGATTTCGAACATGAACAATTTTGGAACTAGCCGAACAAGAGCCAAGTCTGAGCTCGCTCGAGCTCAACTCGTTTACAACCCTAATTTTAGGGGCGTTAATATGCAAACCTCCCAACTCCTTATGGATTTGCATGTCTAATGCCTAATTTTAATTTTTATATTTCTGTTACTCTAATCTTTTGAATCACATTAAAAATATCATTATTTCGACTTTTAAAAGTCAAAAATGAAGTAAAAATTGAAAATTATTTGGTTGAAATGTAAATACACCCTAATTGAGGGGGATGAATGTAAATCTTCCTAAATTTTGTATAATATTAATCAAAATTTAGCATAATGCTATAATTTTAGGAATATCAAAATAAAAAATTAAATCAATAATTAAGCTAATTGATAAGCATATCAATATTTATCACATAATAAATATTAATATCCATCACATATTATGTGTTTTCTTTCTGAATTAATCATTATTTCCTCTAAAATTCTAAATTTAACAAGGAACATTATATATTACAAGTCACTATAAATAAATGTTAACATCTCATTTAAATCATGCCTTCAATATATGGATATTTCTAAAAACACCCTGCCTAAATCTAAATATTTGATAGAAAAGGTAAATTCACTGAGTAAATTTGAAAATTATTGCATACGGACACCGCATACACAGAGATGCATGCGGTATCTGTTCTACACCGTAGATCACGGTGATCTATGGTGAAGATACAATCAAATTAAAAAAAAAAAATTAAAATGAAGCCCACCGAAATACATCATCATCGTACATCACCGTGATCTACAGTGTAGATCAGACACCGCATGCATCTCAGCATGCGGTATCCGTATGCAATAATTTTTTCAGTAAATTGTGACGAGAAAATGGGTGTAATATGTAAAGCAAAGCAAAGTGCTTATTGTTTAAAAATTTGATTCATAATAAAAAAAAATAGAAGATTAATTTACATGCACACTACACAATTCTTAAACATTTACTTATATTTGTAACACTTTATCTGCCATAAATTTATAAGAAAAGGCTATATTTCACCTAAAAAATCAGCTAATAATGTTTATTTTAATATGGTAGCAAAGATAAATGTTATACATATAAATACAAAAACTTAAATATTAAATATATAAATATATAAAAATAGAGTAACATGTGTCCTTTAAAAAATAAAAAATCATATTCTCATTAATTTATTGAGATAACTACATACATTATCACCCATAACATTGCTATTTACAAAGTCCTCCACCCAATAATATGTTTAAGCCATCTATATTTACACTTTCCACCATCAAAACATCAAAAATTTGACAAAAATTAAAAAAATAAGTTTATGTTTCTTCATGAATTTTTATATTTGAGAAAAAATTTGAAAATTATATGAAAAAAAAAAGAGTTCTCGATTTATAAATTGCAATATTTAGAGTGCAAAGGTTGGGTAGCTGTAACTTATTAAAAATTTTAAATAATAATCTGATACTCAAAAAATTGCAAACGGTTATTACAATTATTATTTTTTTTTTAAATCAGACCGTAGCTAGAAAGTTGTTATCGATAGACAGGTGCGGTGAGAAAACGCAATTCAACAAAAACAAACAATTAATAAAACTAAAATACCTCAAAACAACATTTATTACACCAACACAAAACATGCAAAACATGCATTACTTGTCACACTACAAACATGAAATAGATAAAAAATAAAAATAAAAACAAACACACAAATTAAAGCAACTTAGCATATCCCTCCTAGTACACAAGTACGCTCTCCGTACTCTCGTACTTTCACTTACTCAAACACTATGGCCCACATCCCTGGTCTTCTGCCCGATCTGCCCGGCGGCCTCCCCCACCCTCCTCTTCACATACTCCATCTGCTCCTGCACCGAGCTGCCCACCTGCCCGCCTCGACTCCTCACATAATTCACGATCCAAGATAACGTCATTACCGCCGTTAACCCCAACGTCCCCGAGGCGAGGAAGCCGACCACCGCCAGCCCGCCCCCCGCCAGCGAAATGACTGCGGCGGCCGGGACGAGAACCGGGCTGAAGAGGAGGAAAAGCGGTGCGGTCACCGCCAGTCCGATTACCGTGGTGACGAGCGTTAAGGCGGATAATGTGAGGAGAAAACCACCGAACGGAAAGAGGGTGATGGCCGCCACGGCTTTAGAAGCCGGCGGGCTTCGGTCGTGCAAGTAACGCTTGATGTTTTCGCCGGTGTGGCGGAGATCGGATCTCTGATCGGCCATTAGGGTTAGGGTTAGGGATCTGTGGGGAGGAGGGGGAAGGGGGGTTAGGGTTTTAAGGGGACGGGGAGGAGCGACGCGTGTGGGAAAGGGGATGACACGTGTGGATGGGGATGTTCATGCGAGCCGACACCTTAAGCGCTTTTTGATTCTCGATGTCTGATCGCATGGTTTATGATTTCTAAGTGTAGATGGTATGTATATATATATATATATATATATAAGAATGGTAGGAGACTATTATATGAGCACTCAGCCACCCTCATATGAGCCTATTCGAGGACCGCCCTTGCTACCAGCAAATTGGCCAGAGTGAGATTTAAACTCATGACCTGATGAAACTTATGACATTTCAAGAGGCTGATCTACCAAAACGTTACCGGCAAACTGGCCAGTGGGATTTAAACTCGTGAGCTGATGAAACTTATGACCTTCCAAGAGACTGCTCTACCAAAAAGCTACGGTTGGCGGCATATATATATAT